TCACTGCTGTTTGCTCATACACCAAGCCAGTCACACTAACAAAGGAAATTAGATCAGGTTGACATTGTTTCTCCCTGACAAATACAGACTACATTTTGTTCTCTTTCGTTACTGTAGAGCAGGGAGGAAACTTCCAAGAAACTCTCTTCACTAATTTAATGTACTTAACGGTATCTTCCGCTACTTCTCCTTGTGCAACAATAGACCTTGATAAAAAAACTTAGCATTCTGTCCTTGTATCGCAAAAGAGAGGTAAAGTCACACACAGAAGATCAGGGTTAATGGAACAATATGATCAGAAGTTAGCTTCTGCCCTTTTGTTGCTAAGATACTTTTTTTTTTTTTTAAAGTTTCAAAATATTACACAAATCTAATCACTTTAAGTATCAAAAAGAAACAGAACAATATTCAGCAGTGCTGGAGACAGTAAAAATATCCCTTCAATCAAGCAAATTGTAACAACTTACAGATTATTATCTTCTTTTAGTTATGTTGTTACAAACCCCACAGAATTTCTGTAAGCACTTTAATTTCTTCCAGATTTTTAAATTAACCTTCATATCAATAGGTAAAGAATTCCTTATTTTATATCTGTAAGATTCATTCTACTACTTTTCTCTAAAATGACAAGTAAAAAATACATTTAAAGCAGATATCTTACCAGCTGAAAAATATGAAACCCTACACATCACAAAAGGTTAATTAAGGTGAACACATACTATCAGGATGGATACAAACTAGAGACGTGTGGTGTTTTGCTGCTAGCTGAGCACATGACACTGCAACAGTCCGCAATCCCAGAAGAGAGATAAAGAACCTGAGTGTCCAAGAGAGTGAGATGACCAAGAGCAAGGGAGATGACCCTGAGAGGGGCGACCCAGAGAGAGAGCGAACTTCCAGACAGACCCTCACCTATATACTGGGCATGACGTGCATGATATGGAATAGACCATTGGCCAGTTTCGGTCTCAATCCTAAACCTAAGGTCAAATCCTAGGCTAGTAACTGGGGCTGTGCTCCTTCCCAGCTTCTACTGCACCTGCAGACACTGGCACAGCAGAGAAGCTGAAAAGTCCTTGACTGTCCTGGCAGCAACTATAAACATCAGTGTGTTATCAGCCTTCTTCTCAGCACAAATCCAAAACACAGCTTCACACTAGCTACTATAAAGAAAGTTAACTCTGTCCCAGACAAAACCAGGACAAGATACCATCAGCTGATTTACATATAGATTTACAGAAAACCAGAAGTTCAGGTTGAAGTTTTCAATCCGCATACACATTTTCTTATTTTATATTTTTCCTATACATTAGAACATGTGGTACATAAGAAACGTTGTTTGTAATCAAACGCACTGATGTGGTTCTTATAGTTGTAGGGTCTTCACTAAACTGGAACAGGAAGCCCAGTACCAATAAAAGAAAAACAACCAAACAAACATCTCCCTCTCCTTTGGATACTACTCCTTTAATAATGAAAATAAGCGTCAGACAGAGTATACAGAGACTTTACTGAAGAAATTACACTAATAATGGAGTTAATGAATTGTGCACTTAGATATCTACAAGCATCCTCAGGTGTCACTACAGTACAAAATAACATGCTCTAGAAGAAACTAAAGGCTTCTACTTGAACATACCGTTTGTTGCCTCCCAAGAACCATTCCTTAACTTTAATAAAAACACACTTACATCAATTAATAAAAGCCTTTTGAGTGCTCCAATTAGAAAATACATAAGCTGATAATTACCTGTAGATAATTAACTCCAGAGTGCTAACATGTCTTTGCATGCATTGCTCTCACCTGTTCAGCCTGGCTGGATGGCTTCGACATTAACTAGTCAATTTATTTTGATATAATTATTAAAACATTATTTTACCTGCTCACAGCAATTTTGCCTTCATTATGTGTCTTCTTCCAGGCATGACACGTCCCTTTGCTGATATTTTGAGTTAGCTAAAATAAGGAAAATAGCTTTGTTTAAATATCAGAAACATGTTTCAGAATGAGCACAAGGAATTCTAAATAAAACCCAATATCTAATTTATTTGGCCAATGAAGTCCACCTCTGTTGTGCTACACTTATTTTCAGATGACCTCAAATCTAGCAATAGGTTCACTGGAAGACCACGAGAGTCCTGCAAAAGAACATATTTGGAACATATGGGATATAGTGCATGTGAAAACATTTCTCAGAAAGCATCACTTACTCTTTTTCTTTGATCTTTTACTAGAAAGTTCTAACCTGTTACAAGCACCTATCTGTTACTTTCAGTGAGCTAACTCGGCTTTCTACAACATACCTCAAATGTTGTCTCTGCATTTGAACAAAATGGGGATTTTAAGTAGGGAGAAATAACTTCTACAAAACTAACTACCAGAAGAGAGGTGTTCTTTTGAGGACACGTGTAGAAAGAGCCATGTGCCAGAAAAAAATTTCTACTTTTACACTCCACTGACTACTCAACAAAGGATATCTTCCTGCAAACCTTCCATTGTTTACATTCTTAGCTTGTTACGTCTCTAACATAATATAGGTGCAGGTAAGCTTCGCACTCATGAAAAAGCGCTGGTTCATGAGCCTTGCAAGTCCCAGAAAAGAACATCTTATCCTGGAGCACAGAGCTCAGGGCACCCCTGGGACAGCAGGAGGATTCATGGAGGGATGAACACTGCCATGCAACCCCTCTGTGCAGTGCTGTGGTTAATAAGTCACAAAAGGATTTGGTTTGGGGCTTTTTTTCCTAGGTTTTAGATGCTGCATTCTAGACCTAGTCCACCTATTTAGGGCATTAAATGTACTGATACAACATTTCATTTGTTCCAGACAATACAGAGTGCATTTCAAAGTTTGCTCAGTTGCAAATCAAAGAGGAAAACTAATCCTCCATGAAAATTCTATGAAAGAAAATATTGTGATTAGTTACTACAAGATTATATAACATGCACAGTTACCTGTCTGTAAGTATCTAGGAAACATTATAGGTGGAGGAAACCTTTTAATAATGACCATGGTTTTCATCATAAATTCCAACTGGTCTTAAAAACTTAAAAGTCCTTGTTTAGATCAGAGACCTACTGCATTACCCTCAGGGACGTGTTCACATCCAGCTGGAACAAGGGAGAGGCACTTTAACACAGTGGAGTTGTTACAGGGTATTCATAACTGAACTATAAATTTGGTGCTAGAAATGTGAAAGATGGCATCATGATGCAGCCTGAACATCCTGAATCATTTATGCTAGAAAGATGGAGTGTGTCACTATTGTTTCACAATGGCCTTATATACAGAGCTTTGTGGTTTTGACAGACTTTGGATTTTTAATTGATGGTCTCAAAGCTACTTTTAGTCAAACAGGTGTTGTATTAACAGCAATTATAATGAATATAACCAGTGCATGTTGCAGGTCTTATACTGAGTGTAAGCTTAGAGCATCTTATTTTCAAAAGTATGTTTAGATACCTTGCCATTGGTATCTATGTGATATATTTGATTGTTTACCTGTGACTCTATACTAACGTGGACGCAGATTATTAAGTATGAGTGGAATCGTGCAAAGTGTGACCTGAATCCTATTGCATGTTACACCCCCATGTTAGTAAGATGCACACCGCCCTTCACCTTGAAGGGAACATAGGGAACATTTGAGAACATTTGATGTAGTCCTCATAATCGTATAATAATAAATATAATTTAAAAGTAACTGCATTTCAAAATAAATTATCTAAAATTGCTAATTTGTTGTATGGAGTACATAGAAATTGTTTGAAGTGATTCATCAGACTTGTTTTGTTGTTCATAACATCAGACATTTACAGAATGTGTAAAAATTACTAAAGATGCTGCCAGGTAGAAACAAAAGTTTTGTGAACAAAAGAAGTTATGAAGTGAACTTTGTTAGTGATCTGAGGCAAAGGTTTGACTTTCCAAAAGTTAACTAAAACCACCAAGCAGTACCATTCCCTCAAAGCAACGTTGGTTTATTCTCATTACTCATGGAGAGTCGGAACAGAAAATATATTTCAACAGATCTAATTAATTACAAAACCAGTAATGGTTCATCTCTCGCTGTAAGTAACACGCTGTCATCTGCTGATCAAGGAAATCCTCTTTCTGCTATTTCAGCCATCAGCAGATTAATAATGGTTGTACTTTCCTTGAAGATAACAAACACATCGCACACAGAAAATACACTTGATGACACAGCTCATGCGCTACTAAATATACTAAATGCTATCAGGGATAAAGAGCTTTCAAAAGGCTGAACAACGACAGTTTATCCCTTCCTCTGCCAACAACGGCCACCACTACACCACCACCACGGTGCCATAAAAACCCCACAGCAAGCATTTCAGGGACTCAGGCTCACAGAAGCAGCGTGAAAAAGAAAAAAAAAAAGCATGTGAGTCACAAAAGCCTTGGCAAAACAAAGCCCCATTTCACCCTCCAGTCCCAAAGGCCCATCCCCTACACCGCCTCAACCCCAGGGGCTGCCACGGGCCAGAGCTGCAGGTCTCGGCCTTCTCCTTGCCCCACGCGACTGCAGCCAACTTGCAGCCAGCACTGAGCCTCGCAACTCTACGGAGGAGTAAGAATCAGCACAAGAGTTATTCAATATTTCTATTTATTTTTTCATTAATACAGTATTTCCTTCCCCACAGATTAACTGAAAAGTAACTCACGAAACATTAATTGAAGAGCTACCAAAACACAGTTCTGTTGAATCTGTTGTTTCTTTTGGAAGACAGTCTGCTTTAGTATTATTCAGAAACACCACTGCTGCCTACAGAATAATGAACCTTTTTTCCCCAATCTAAACATCCATATTGGATCCAAGGCACATAACATTTTATTCATTTTATGAACCAGTTTTAAGGCAGCACTCAGAACAGAAATATACCACATCAAAAGGTGTAAGAACTATTATTTGAAGAGAAAGTTCATTAGCAATAAGGGCAGATTAAGCTATTGCCAGATGAATCATTCTATCGGCAAAGATTAGAGTTTTGATTTCCTCTGAAAGAAGCTGACAAGAGCATTCATACATTCATCAGATAACCACCTCTCCTTCAGGACTTCACACTCCTTACTGTTGACTGCGTGGAGCTTCTCTTTATCTATACTTCGTAACAGTTGCTTTGAGGCTGCCAAGGCCTGAAGGAGAGAGAGGAACATTACGAAGTCACATTTTCTATACCTTAATTTAATGTTTCAGCAAACAGCACAATAAACACATTGGAATTCAAGCAGAGTTTTACTAACATTGTAAGTTTTAGCTTTTAGTCAACCTTTTTGCTGGAAGTAATTATTGCATTTAATTACCAAGACTGCTAATAAGCTGGAGGAGGTTCATGGGAAGCAAATCAGCAGTCCACTGAGTGCTCACAATCAGAGTAGAAGGGCATAAGAAGCGAAACCTGCTCAACTGTCTGCAGTGCCAAACTCAACCTACGTTATCAGCAGTTGGCACAAGTGTCTCCTCTTGTCCAATGTAACATAATACCATTATGACTCAAGTAGTTTTGCAAAACTTAAACTAGTGTGCAGGATGACTTAATTCAGCAAAAAGTAAAGCCATCCAGTGTCATCTTGAGGACCCACAGTGCAAACAGCACAATGAATATTGTAGAACCAGTGGTAAGGCTCTTAAACCTAAACTAAAACCAAAACAAAAATCTAAGAAGGCTGCACCCAACGCAGGCACACAGAGACTGCAAGTGGATTAATTAGTTTTTGAGGCTTTTCATCTATTGAATCTCTGTGTGCAGTGCATTGCCTTAGACTCGGACAGGGCAGAAGAGAGGTTTCTGTTTCCCAGCAGCAGAGGGACAGGGTCAGATCTGTGCTTAAAGGAAGTAAGATTGAGCCTTGTTCTTTCCATTAGGGTTGAAGTCAAACCAAGTAACAGGATGGGGTTGGCAGGAGGACTGTGAATGCTACAGGCTTACAAGGTGGAGAAAAATTTAAAAATACTTACATTTTTGGGGAGGCTTGCATAAGCTTCTAATCTTGCCCAAACTTCCTTCTGAAAAGTCCTGTCAGGGAAGACTTCAGTCACCAGTCCCTGAGCACAGGCTTCTGCTGCAGTTAGCTTTTTATTGAAAAGTAAAATCTCATTTGCCTATATAAAGAAAGTAAAAAGTGTGATTCAATGAGACAAAAGACTTGGGTGATCTGACAGGAAAGGTACAAGCTTCCAAGTCATATTAATTTCTCTCTCTTGCTTGTTAATGTCTGCCCTCTGAAAGGAACATGGAATCACAGAATAGATAAGGCTGAAAGGGACCTCCAGCTACTGTTCAGTTCAAAGCCACTACTCAAGCAAGGTAAGCTGGAGCATGCTGCCCAAGATTGCTGGGTTTTGAGTATCTTCAAGGACAAAGATACTTCTCCAAGGATGAAGACTTCACAGCATCTCTGCACGACCTGTTCCTGTTTTTCACCACCCTCACTATAAAATTATTTTTTTATGTTCGCATTGGATTTCGTGTTTCAATTTGTACCCCTTTCCTCTTGTCCTGTCACTGGGCACCACTGACGAGAATCTATCTCCTTTACACCCTCCCATCAGGTAAGATTCTGCCAAGCCTTCTCTGCTCCAGGAAAAACAGTCCCAGCTCTCTCAGCCTCTTCTCATGTGTAGTATGCTCCAGGACCTTGATCATCTTTGTGGCTCTTTGCTGGGCCTACTCCAGTATGTCCACATCTCTCTCGCAGCTGGAGCCCAGACCCAAACACAGCACTCCAGCTGTGGTCTCACCCGTGTTGAGTAGAGGGGAAGAATCACCTCCTTCAACCTGCTGGCAACGCTCTGTCTAATGCAACCCAAGATACCTTTGTCCTTTGCTGCAAGGGTGCATTGCTGGCTCATGGGCAACTTGTCCACCAGGACATAAAGGTCCTTCTCTGCAAAGCTGCTTTCCAGCCAGTAAGCCCCCAGTATGCACTGGTGCGTGGGATTATTTCTTCCCAGGTACAGGACTTTGCCTTTTCCTTTGCTGAAGTCTGTGAGATTCCCCAATCCTCCAGCCTGTCCAGGTCCCTTTGATGGCAACGCATCTGGCATATCCACCATTCCTCTCAGTTTTGTATCATCTGCCCCATCAACCAGGCCACAATGAAGAGGTTAAATAAGTATTAGACCAAGCCCCCAGGCTACACCATTAGTGACTGGCCTCTAGCTCCTATTGTTCACCAAGAGTCTACACGTCTTTTTGAGCAGAGCTCCAAGGTTGTCACCTGAAATTATCTCATCATAAATGTGTTTGTTCACTTTCTGCAGTGACTCCAAGATTTCTAGAATGTGTACTGGTAGGTTATTATCTCACTGAACAGACTACCCTTGATACTTGGATGTTTATGAAGCACTTTCTCTATGCCTTATGGATTTAAACCCTGCTCAACAAAAATACATTATATTAACGCAGGCAATAATATCAGATAAGCATTTGAAACTATTCAGATTTTTTCTGTGAGATACCAAAAGAAGCAGGAAGGGAGTTATGCTGTTCTAAGATGAGACAACTTAGATTCTGCTGCTTCTCCTTTTTTTCTTTTCTTTTTTTTTTTTTTTTAATTACTATTATTTAGTTTCCTTATTTCTAGAGTAGACAGAGAAAACAAGAGCATGAACAAAAGACCAATAGATAATAGAACAAAATAGATAATATAAAAGGTCTGGAAGTAAATACATAAATGGATTGCTTTATGTTCACAATTAGAAGAATGACTGAATACAAGTTTCCCACAGGGCTAGCAAAAGCCCTGTAACGCTTGCTCCCTTGCCTGACAAAGGCAGCCTACCAAGACATTTCTCATGAGTGCTCTTATTTTCTTTTTTTAAACCCTTCTGTATATCATTCCCTTCCATTGCTGGAAGAAAGATACAACCTTTCACTATATAGAAATTGTTTCAAGAAGGTGAGGGAAGCCATGAGAAAGAAAACCTTCATTGGTATTCATAGTATGGTTTTACAAGTGGTCACTACTCTTTTAAGGTGCCTGTGGTGACAGTGTCAGCACATTTGTTAATCTTTATTTCAAAAGATGGGAAGCTTTCTTTGAGGACTCTTGCTGTGACTCCACTTGCTCTTACAGCTGGAGGATACCAACACAGAAAGGTCAGTGCAGACATTCTTACCTTAGCTAAGCCCATGATTTTTGGAAACAGGTAAGAGGAACATCCTTCTGGGCTCTGTCCAAGCTGACCAAATGGGGTGTGAAATGTAGCCTGGGGAAAAAAAAAAAAAAAAAAAAAAAAAAAAAGAAAATCCCACAAGCAAATCTCACACCAGAACACAAGACTAATGTACTAGGATTTAGTTTTAATTTTGAAACTTCTACTGTGACAGAATTCACCAGAAATACATTTGAACTGTTACCACAATAGTCTTTAAATACCATTCGGTAGCACTGTTTCATCCTCCCAACGCACCAAAGAGCTGACTTCATCTTTATAATTCAATTCCCTTATCATAACAACCCCATTGATGAAGTTACCTTGTTTGAATACAGTGCTTAGAGAAACTAATTTCCATGTGCAAAATCCTTACTGAAAAGATGTTCATACAGATCTGTGCTAAGAGTTTTTAAATACATAGCCCAAATAACTTAAGAGGCAAAGAGCATTTCGCTTTCTGAAGGCACACTAAGTTTATTCTACTCCCGAAAGATTCAAGTAATTGAATCTTATTTCCTCAAATTTTATGCAAGCTTAAAAAGAACCCATGGCCAAAATACATCATGGGATCACACAAAACAATGTCCTAATTGCAAGTTAGAACTGAACTGCAGACTTATGTTTTGACAACTTACATCAAGTTTAGGCAAGGAAGACAAAATGCTTGCCTTTATTTCCATTTAAAAATATGAACTGATACACAGAGTGCACAAGTTGCCACTGCAGCTTTCACTGTAATAGCAGGTAACAATCTTGTACAGTCCTGCAGATGGCCATACAGTACGACAGATCAATAGCCTTCTAGGAAGAAAGTGACAATTAATAATAGTGAGAAAAGATTAGACAGCTGCCAGGATACAGACCAGTGTAATTGGTCCTGCTTTAGCAAGGGGAGATGAACTATACCAGGGATACAAACTGGTGCCCCAGAAACTAGAGCAAAATACAGCGCACACAGCAAGGTTAACTAACCACCCAAAATGCTGATCTGTTGTCAGACTGGGCTGCGCAGTGTCACGTAAATGTGGTTGGTAATGATCTGCTCTGGGAATCCCTGTCTGAGAATAAAACTAAATTTTCCCAAGTCCCACAATGACAAACGCAGTCCAGTGGAGACTTTGAGGAAAAATCTGACACAACGCTGCAGCAGGAGTGAAAGTACCACTCATTACAGACATTTCTGCAAGCAAAAGACCTTCAGTTAAGTTCTGTATCTGTTTATTAATCTTATAAAAAAGAACAGCTCAGAACATAAAAAATGAGCCATATAATGGGATTTTATGCTATGCCTTAATATAGCTTTTGGTTATGTATTTAGCAAGTGACCTTAAAAGGAATCTTAAATTGAATAAACCAAAGCTTTTCTAAAGTTACCTTGGAACACAGATTAGATAAAATGCCAGTTGCTGCATACCATTCCATAATAATCTTTTACTCCCCCTCCCACACCTGAAAGGGGCCTGACAACCACCGTTTCACATCAGCTACTCTTTACCCACTGATACAGCAGAGAGTTTCTAAATTAGAGTTGATAACTTGATAACCATAACTTCAGCAGGGAAATTCAGTGCATGCACTGGCCGATGCACCCCGGTGCTGGTAATTAATATAGGTGTTCCCTGTCGTGATAAAAAAAGCCTTTACACTTGTGTGTTCTTTTCTGTCGGATTACCCTAAACCAAGTAATATTTGCTACAGAAAGAGGCTTAAAGAATGCCTTGGGATCAGCTATGTGATGCACTTACCCTGTCAGAAGCATAGACAATGTCACATAATCCAAGGAGCGTTACACAGATTCCAATAGCTGGGCCATTGACCACTGCAATCAGTGGTTTAGGAAAATCAATAAAGTGACCCACAAACTCTCTAGAGAGAAGGAAAAACAAAATGTTAAGAGACATATCCTAGTCTTTTTCATCAAATATAAACAAATTTCAAAACACCTGATTAGATACTACATAACAAAAACCATGAGCTAGATTCTATGTAGCACGTTTTTGTCCTTTTCCCAAATGAATTCTGACAAAGAAAATAAGAACTATTTGAAATACCTGCACTTCCTTACCAATTCAGAATCAAACATGTACATGACAGCACAGCTTTCCTAGATCCTGCAGTCAAGTTGTGAAAGTGCTGTCCTCTTTAGCTACAGTTACTGAATAAAGCTCACTAACAAGAGCAGTCTTTTGCCCTGTCTGTCTATGCGCCTATGTATCCATCCCAACTCCACCCCAGGGATATCCTTTCCCTTCACAGATTCTGTTCTGCAGTGAAGCCCCAGCAGGCACCAAAATTGTGATGCTACCACAACACAGAATTCCCTAGTGCTGTTCTGCACGGGTTTGAGAAACAGCGTTTTGTTTCATTTGACAGCTACTTCTCCATCCAAGAAGTGCAAAATACGTTCTCAAAATATATTTTTCAAAAGTGAACAGTGCTGTAGAAACTCCACTTCTCTGACATCTCTGTGAATCAGTTGTAAAGAAAGCACTGGGCCTGTGTAATAAACACAGTACAGCAAATACAGTCTTCTCAGAAGAGCAAGAGGAAAGAGCATAAAGTACACATGAGACTCCGCATTGTGTTGAACATCCTACAAAACACTGCAGGTTGGAAGGCTTGCCAGATACCACTGAATCACATCTTTACAACAGATTCAGACTGCATGATTATCACTTTGTAGGGGCAACTGTGATCCACAGACAGCTTGCCTAAGTAAAAGCTACAAACCCAAGTGCTTTACTTGCAGTTCATCATTTATATTTTTGTATTTGATTTATATTTTAATCAAAAACATTGTTTGCTTTTTTGTGTGTTTTAGATTTTCCATGAATTGCAAGTCCTTGAGGAAACAATCCATCCTGCAAGCATCTATCAGATGTAGTCATCAGAGGTACAGAAATAAAAGAGAAGACAAAATCTGCTTAAATAGGGAAGAAACAAACATATTCTTGGTCCCAAAAAAACATTTTAGCCACTGGGTCAGATGATGCACCTGATCTCCTTGGCCCTAGAAAATAAATTTGTTTATCAGGTAGATTCAGACTCAAAGATGGAACCAAGATCTCTGAATCCCTGGGCAATTTTGAACAAGTTCATTACACCTTGTCTCTACTCTGACAATGAGTTTATTTTGGCATATCCTGCTACTGTAGACACTTTTGGGTACCAAAAAGCCCACAAAATTTTCATTGCAGCTTACAAACTATACAGTCAAAATCATGTTTTTTGTCATTATATCTGCATGTACTTTGGAGACTAAAAAATAAAATCAAGTCTTTAGCATCACTGTACTTAAAAAAGATTTATAATACTAATCTCATTTCCTCATTTATTTCACACAATTAATACTACTTCTTCCACATGTTTGTGTTTATGTGCATGGTGACCCCTTAGACAGAGTCATCTCAATGAATGTATCGTAGCACAACTGGGTCCCTGCTGTTGTGTTTTCTAACAATGCCTGCAAATTATATTTTACCCATTACAGTAACATTCATATATGAAACCAAGATGTTCTACTTGAGTAATACTGCTCCATCTTCTGCCATCTTCTCCACTGCACCAGGCTGGGTATGACCAAAATTACCCAGATCATTCCCACTACTGTAGTAGTCTCCATTTCCTGCAGAGAATACATATGAATTAATGCACCAGTGGTTTCTGAGTAGGTAAGAGAAGCTTCCATTTATTATATTTACAAAAGAGTTTAATTCTAAGCATCTAACATTATTAAGCAATTAGAGGGATTGTCTCAAAGTACACTACTTTAACGGATATCTATGGTTTAGAAATAAGTTTTGACTGACAATTCACTGAAAAACAATGGGTAAAGAGACAAACAATATTAAATTTGAAATATGTGAGGGGGAGAAAAAAAAATTATTTTCTCTCCATAATTGCTCGGGTTTTTTTTTTTCTGTTGATTCACAATCATTCACACAGTAAGATGCCAGAAACCTTTTTTTTATTTAAACAGGGAAATGGAACTGCAAGGTTATGCATCTCCCTCCACCCTCCTTCAAACTGACGAAAGAATCAAAAGTAGACAGAATAACCTATTTAATGTGTCATAGAATTTTCATTCCACCCTCCTTCAAACTGACGAAAGAATCTAAATAGGTTATTCTGTCTACTTTTATGTGTCATAGAATTTTCACGGGTTTTATGACCAATTAAGGAAATGGCATAGCATTCTCATGATAAGACTGACAGCACTGCATTGAAATCATTGTACTGAAAGATGTATTCTTCAATAAGAAGCAGATAACCTGCGAGTGAATGTATAGGTCAGTTTGAGCCACCATCAAAAAAGCAAGAGTATTTAAAAGCTAGACTGCATGATTTAATTGTCTAAATCATCCCATGTTGCATGAGGACATTCACAGGATAGGACCTTTCACTGGTTGGCACATCACAGGCTGCAGTGCTCTTACTAACTACATAAAATGGAACAGAGAGGTTTGTGCAGGTGTGTTTGCTCTTTACTCCTAGCTATACACATTAGACATTCCAGTTGTGTGAACTACCTTCTCATTTTGTAAGGGTTGTTGTGCCTAGTCATTGCTACTGAAAGGAAATTCAGCATCCTAGCAATACAAGGTGTTGGCAAAGAAGACAGTGGAGAAGAATATGTATGCAACTACCTCATATGTTCCAATGTATCACAGAGGTAGAGAAAATGGACTAAACCCATGCGAATGAACTTCAAAAGCAGTACTGAAGATGCTGTGGAGCAGTTATATCAGCCTCTCAAAAGTAATAAAGCCCTTAGGAGTATTCACTGTCTATCTTCTCATCTCAGAAAGATGTTTTCATATAACAGCAAGGTTGTTAAAGAATTTGAAACACCACCTTGAAAGAATTTTGCCAAAATACTTTGGAAAATCTTTGGTCTATACTAGAGGAAAGAATTTCCTCACTTACACATCTTAGTCTAAATACAAGTAGATAGTTCATATGTCATTTTTACATATTACTAAAAAAAAAAAAAAATCTAAGAGAGGCATATGAAGTGTCGTACCAGTAATAACTGCTATGGTAGAATCATCTTTTCCAGCTTCTTCAAGAGCTTTGATAATTTCTCTGTACATCTGCATATGAGGAAAACCAACAAAGTACAAATGTAATGCTCCAAAAGACTGTAAAAAGGAGATTCACACCGACAACAAGCAACTTGAGAGTCAGATTAACGATGGTCCTTTTAAGTATGAAAAAATTTGCATTCATAGAAAGTTAAGTATTACATGTGAGGTATTTCTGCCCATAAAGTCATATGCTTGAAATACTCAAGACTTCTGACACAAATCTAAAGAACAAAATAAGGTCCTTTGGAAAATAGACATTAGCTGGAAACAGCTAACTTTAAAACCTGAGAAGCAGGTTAAGTGGGCAAAATAATACATTAAAGAATTGGCAACAGTGGGGTGAAGTCTCTGTCCCAATAGGAAGGGCTTCCTCATGAAGATAGCTATGGGAACTAGAAGACTATCTAGACATACACACAACAGTGCTGAGACAAAGTAGGCTGCACACATGCTTTGTTATACATTAGGCTACAGTCAAATCTTGTATCCACAAAACAGTCTAGTTTTCCTGCAGTTTGCCATTTTAGCTTAGTGCAGAACGTAATCTTATCATAAGTTTGAAAGAAACCAAAAGACACAGAAAGCCCAATCCCTAAATTTTTAGCTGAATTGTTTAATTTTGGACTGGATATTTACTCTTTAGGTTGTCATCAAAGTCAAGATACTAAACCCTCACAAAATTCAGACCGCCATGCTTCAGTCAGTTCTGCTAAACCAGTGGTAATGATTCTTTAAAAACATAAGTAAGCTTACCCAAGAAAGAAAAAATCATTAATCCTCCCAAATTAATTTCTTTACCTTATGGTTGATGGCATTTTTCTTATCAGGTCGGTTAAACATTATCTTTGTGATATTGTTTTTGGTGGTAACTAATAGTGTTTCATAGCCATCTTGTCTGCTCTCTTCTGGAAAAGCATCTTTCTTTTGGCCAGCAGATTCTGCAGAGACCAGACTTGAGACAACTTCAATATATTTCTGTCTGGCGTTATCCTGTAATGAAATAAAAGAAAAAAAAAAAAAAAAAAAGGAGAAAATAGAAATCACACAAAATTATCAAAGGCTGAAAATTAGTTTGTTATGCTATTCATAAAGTGGGTACCTGGGTGGAGTGTGGGCAAGGAAGAGATAGGACTGTCCTTTAGGACAAGAGGAAGAAAAAAAATTTGTTAGCAAGCTTTCTAATTAAGGTGAGAAGGGGAACATGTTGTATTTAAACACTGGAGATCATGCTTGAAGTCATCTGGAGAGTAGGTGCAATGGATCTGCAAAATAAAAGTGCATAGATGGTGGGATGATGACATCATTTTGTTGGGAAACTGCCCCCATCCATGCCTAAGATTACCAGAGAGACCTTTGTCATATTCCCAGCATTTACACATTTCTATAGATCCTTTGCTTCCGCTTTCCAGTTGGACATTTCTCCAACAAAAGAAAAGGTTTTTTTTAAGGAAATGTGTTGCTGAAAATACGAGTTTTGAAATGGATCTATGGCATTTTAAAATTGATCAAAGACACTAGTTTGTATTTAGCCCAAACATGATGTGCAAAAGCCTAAAGAATCCTGCTTTTCTATTTCTATAGTAAGAAGTGATTTAAACGAATTGTAAGTTCTTGGTTGTTACAACCTATTTTCTTGAACAGATAATAAATATACTTTGAACAATTCTATAATCCATAATCTATAGCACATTAAATTGTCTAGTCTCTCACCCCTATAACTTCAAGAGTAGATTCTTTTCCTTAAGTGTTTCTTGGCTATTCCTAAAAGCTGCAGAGCCATGTCAAAACAAAAACCCAAACAAAAAACAAAAACACAACCCAAAAACCCCAAAGCAGCACAAGAATATGTTATGTTTATGAAATTATGCAAGTATGTTTTCTTTTGAAAGAAAAAAAAATGCAAAACCTCCCGTCTGTATTAAGTAGTATCTTTGACCTCAGAGACTACTCCTGAACAGCAGGCCTAATGCAGCAGTGACACAGGTGGTCAGAAAAGCTTATGTTTCCTGCATTTAATAGCAGCTGAAGAAACTGTGGTAGCTATACACAATGTCAGACTCACTACACTCTGCATGAAAAAAACCCACTTACGTATCTTTCCATCTATATTCTTCCTGCTTGCTTCAACTCAAGTAAAGACTTCTCTAAAGGTTATGAAAGGTACTAAAGATATCAATACACCAAGAAAGAATGAAGAGAGGCTCTCAATACACCACATTTTTGTAGTCTTTTAGTCAGCAGTATAAGAGATTGACTCTTTTAAATGACAAAGTTATCAATATGCTGGATTCACAAATTTGGTCTCTGTTGTAAGAACTGAGAAGCTCAATCCATCCTTCTTAAAGGGAAGAGCAGAGTAGAACATAGTGTGAAAGCACTATTTTTACTGATATTCAACACATATGTAAGGTATCTTACCCTGGTACAAGCTGGTAGTAACAATGTAGAACTAGGCTTACACAGTAAAAAACCTCCAAAAATTGAAGCAATGAAATGACTGTAGAATACAGCACAAAACATTTTGGTGCCTGAAGCAGAGCTGCTCACCTAGCATACAATATGTTTGGACATTAGCCATTCACTTCCAGACCAGGCATTTCAAGGCAGAGTAATCTATGAAGTATCTAAGTGAAATTATACATATTGTCACCTGAGACAAATTGCCAAGAGAATTCCATGCATCCCACTTGGCTTTCTTGACAAAGTCCAGCATACCTGGTTTTGGAGAATTGCAGGGACCTTCAGTAGCCTGAAAAGAGAGTGTAACAAAACTTCTTTAAACCTTTGATTAAAGTTCAGATGCCCTGATAGAAAAGATGACAACTGTTAGGAATATTTATACGATCAGGATACAGAATTCAACTCTGAGACAAGGAATACCTAGTGGTTGGTCAATATTCAGACAGTTCACCTACCATGAAGTTTTCAGTTGCTGCTCTTTCCTAATACCTGGTGCTGGGCTTTCAGAAGCACCTAACCAATAAGAGACACTAGTTTCCAAAACGCCCATGCATGTTAAGTTCTCCTATGTCAAAAACTGCGGAAGTTTGACACTTAAAAGTTAAAGACTAGTAAGCTGTGTGAACAAAAAAAACATTGCATAGGACCTATTAAACTGGATCTTACTTCAAATTTGGCCCTACCATAAGCAAGGGCATTGGACCAGTTGAACTGCTAGAGCTGAGCTACCCTGAAGTATTCTATCATCAGTTTTCCTGAAGAAAAATACACTAACAGAGAGAAATATTTCAAGTGGGAGGCAGGAAAGAAAGAATACATTTATGAGCTTATTATTATTAATTGGTAAAACTACTTGGAACAGTCAGCTGTCTAAGCTTTTATTTAAAGGAGCGACTGATTGCCTTCTTCAATATAACAAGCCATAGCCTGTACTGACCCTGCAGCCAATCTTGATCCACAAATACTTCCCCAAGTACCTATTTCTACAAAGGTCTCCTTCCATGCTGTAGCAAAGAATAACTTTCACCCAAATTGTGGAGGAACAGTTCCTTGAATTTTTAACAAAACAAACCAAAAAACCTAGACTACAACAACCACGCAAAAGAAAAAAAAGAAAACAACCTTCAAATGTCAACACCATTATATTACAGGCCCAGCAGACTGACTGTAGGTACAACAAAATTAAGAGGAAGCATGTGGTATACTTTTTTTTCCTAGGCTTAAGCTATTTTCCAGAGCTGCATCATTATGTGCTATATTATATGGAAGGCATGGCACAATTGATGTAAATGGGCTCTATTTCTTTGAATAAAGGTTTACATTCAAAGCATCGTTTTCCAGATGAAACAGGTTTGGCTTCCCTCAGAATTCAGGCAGGGTTTGAGGGGCTGGCAATTCAAGAACAGAATTTGTGCCCTTGAAATGAAGAGCTTATCAAGATACAATACAGTTGAACGACTCCTGTTTTGAGTAAATTTTTTTCAGTTCCATCCCCTCGATTATAAATGCCCCTTAGAAAATAAAATAAGTCAAGTCTACCTGTTTAAACAAAGCGTAGAGTTCCAGCTTCATTTCATTGCCAGGATCCACTTTCAAAAGCTTCAGTTGTTCTTGAGCCTTTTCAAAATCTTTCCGGCTGACTTGCATAGTGGCTGCAGTCATGTGCAGGTGAATTGATGGAATGCAAACAGCTTGCGCTCGCCTTTTATAACTGGAAAAAAAATCCCATTGCTTGCTTTTTGTGTAAAACCAGAGAAGAAACAAATATGCCGCTTTTTAAGGACATTTAAAGTAAATGTAAAACATTAAATATTTGGACCTGCACTGATTAAAACAACAACAACAAAAGCAAGGTACTAAAAATTACAAGAAAGCTGCTTTAGGAGTTTGCTTTATCTGCAACATCATTAACCTTTGGAGAATATGACATTATATCTCTCTAGTACGTAAAGTGCTAGATTTAATGCTGCCAGATGACAAAGAAACTATGCAGTAATATACCAGATGATCATATATAGACCACTAAATGGCAGTAGTGGGAAACTAATGTTTTGGAATAAATCAGAGCCCTACAGGTTCTGTCCACGACAAACAAATAAGAAACACTGAACATTTAAAACCTCTGTATGCAACATTAACAGCTTTATATATGTATGAATCAAAACGAGTATGCAGCCTGCCTGTGTTTTGTGATCTTTAAAAGTTCATGTGCTTCCATGTAGAAACACTTCAATCTGAAAGCCCGGTTCTCCAATCAGGGCAGAAGTAAAAGCTAATTTCAAAATGTACTTTGGAAAAGGACTGGCTGTAAAACAGCTTGTAGACACTTGGAAAAAAGATGTGGTCAAAATATTGTGGAAGAATTCTCTGCAAGATAAAAAAAAATAAAGTATTTCCATCAAAAAAACCCCAACAAAACCCAAACTCCACACCAAAGAACCAAACCTAACCCAACCTTATAATGCTTTGTAAAAGCAGGTTTACTTCAACAGAGTTTGGAATCAAAAGTCAAGAAGCCTAACAATTTTGGCTTGTTTCAAGAGGCCAAAAGCGAGTTGTCTCAGCTTTCTTTGGTTAAATTGCAATATACATTAAGTATTTTTACTATTTCTAAAATGTTAGCAGTTTATGTATCAATGTTCCTTCTCTATTTTAGTAAAAAAAGAACAAAATCCCCCCAACCTTCCCCACTCTAACTTACAGACACAGCTGTTATGTTAGAACTTCATATATGATAGATTACACAACCAGTCACATCTGAAAAATTAATTATTATCTGAAAGGCAGACTCATAGAATGTTTAATCATTAATTTAATCTGTTAACATTTAAGTTACATTTAAGTTAATTAAAAATCACATCTAACATGAAAATTCTTCCTTTTTATACACACTTAATGAGAATTTTAGAGAAATTCTACTGCCTACTTTGAAAACATTCTCATTGCTCTTATTTCTTAAATAAAATTTATTTTCAGCTGCAAGCCTAAAAGTTGCAAGCACGCAGTGTGAAGAATGCCAACTGTGTCCAATTAATTGTATTATTCTTTCATTTCATGCAGATAGAATGTTTTAGTTGTCTTGTAAAAATGTTTGTAAGATCTATTGGTTTTATGTCCTATTTCAGCCCTTCTGTATTAATAAAATCTAAGATCCTGGAATTTCAGGGCTACCGAGTTTGAATGACAGAAACAGAAAGAATATTTTCTGTTATATACAGAAATTCTTTCAAAATGAAAGAATTCCAGAATCTGCTTCAAAATCTTATTCTAGTAAAAAGAAATCTATCTGAACAACACAAAGTGGAACAGGCTATCAAAAAAGGCTGTGGGAACAGAAAGTCTTCTTACCTAAACTGATCAGCTGTAGTCCTTTATTAACATAGCAGTGCTCCCAGACAGATGGGGTTAACCCTCTGCCACTTTAACATTCAAACTGATGTGTTCAGAAGACTGTGTCAGAGTTTAACAAGTTTATCCTTTAACCAACTGTGAGGCTATTTAGCCAACTTGTGGACTTCACCTCCACCATTACTAAAAGCCAAAGCAAACTGAACAGCCTGTGCCATGTTTAGAGCAATCATCCCTCCTTTGCTGGAGAAAAAAGGAGTGGTATGTGGGGAGTGGGTGGTTAATTAATACAGACATTCTGGGTGGAGGTTATTCTAGCTACAGGAAGCAAAGCAATCCTCTCTTTCTTTATGTCATCCTATTACAGGCTTCTCCCAAAGAACTTCAGATCACTTGTCTATACACGTTATTTCTTGTCATAAACTCTTCACAGGTTGTTTCTTTTTTGTTGTTGTTTTTTTGTTTGTTTGTTTTCCTCCCTGCAGAATTATTTTGGTTTTCATGAGTGTCTATCAAATGAATATGATGTCTGTTACAATATCTTGTCAGACTTTTAGGTGGAAAGCAGTATCCCTCTAAGTTTCACAGACAGGCTTTCTTACAAACAGGGAGTTGTGTAGTAGGCAATGATGGTATCATACTAAAGAAACCTCAGCTTGACAGTTTTTACATTAATAAAGTGAAATTACTTCAGCTGTTAATTTCTGATCCTGTCCTTTGGAGTTTCTTTGCTTCTACTTGAAAATGTGAAGTAACCAAATCTGACACATGAACACATTCCTTTGAAACTTCTGTCACCTTGAAAAAAACTGTCACCCCAAAAAACCCCACACAAGAAAACAACTATCCCTCCCTGTTCTACCAGTGCAGTCCCTGGCAGCAGCCCATTATACTGTAGCTAGTGGGGAGTAACTAAAATGTATTGCTATGAAGTAATAGGAATGCTTCTAATGTTTTTGGTATTTCCCACATGTCTAGCTAGCAGAAAAGATCAGTGCAAATACTCTATAGCCAATTTACTTACTACTGCTTTAATAAACAGAAAGAAATGCAAGTCAAATTATTTCCTCCTTTACATTAGAACATTTCAATAGTTGTTCTAAACACAAGTTTGGTGTACAAATCCTTATCAGCTTTTACTATTTTACACTCCTACACTGTTTTGACATATAACCAAAGGATAATGATGTGTCTGTTGGCAAACTGAAGTGCTGAATCACAGTTGTTTAGTGTAAGTGGCTCAGCTGTGCACGATAGTTTTTTCCCCAATATTAAAGAATAGCTAAGAATCAAAGATCTAGATTACCATTCACTGAGATGTGAAATGGTCTGCTCTTTGTGCTTTATACTGGCACAGTTAATATTCTCTCATCACAGCAGCTGGGAAGGAAACTGGGATTATGTCCCGAAATCTCTGCAAAAGCTCTCTCTTTCCAGCAGACAGAAGTTAACTGGACATGGTGAATGACTAAAGCCTGAGAGCATTTCCTGTACATCCACAGTCCATGTAAGACATCTCTGCAAGCAGGATGATTTACAGACATCCTCTCAAACACATTTGAAAGTTATAAACATGAATGTTAGCAGAAAAATACTGAGCTGTGATCCTCATATACATGACACTTGCTGAGAATCACTCAAAGTTTACTGTAGTATTTGGAGAGCATCAAACTTAAACAGGTTCTTTGTACCTCCTTATCCAAGGTGACTTTAACAGAACAGTTATGAACAAATACTCAAAATAATTTTGCTGCTAAATGAGAAAGGAAAGAGCCATTTTTATTTAACTTCCAGGAACAAATCTTGTTGACTGTATGGACAGCAAGAAAGTGTATACTTTGATGTTACTGGCTTCTGGCCAAGGTAGGTAGGTTTCTGACAGGGATTCAACCAGCTGCTGAAGCCCCCATTAGAAAACCTACTGACACTCCTGCTAGTTCAGCTGAACCAGTGAAAGGAGAAAAACAATTTGTCCAAAGCTTACTTTCTCTCCCGAACAACCTAGATACAACAGGGATGGACACGAAGGATACTGAACAATAACAAAGCAGTATTTGTCAATGGCTTATCCTGTCCAAATCCAGAATTCTTTCAAATTAGGTCTAAACACAAAGTACCACACTGCTCTTGGTTTTGGTACTATTTCCAGCACCCACAACCAGACAAACCTACGGGTATCCTGAAAAGATCTGGGACAATTTACTTGACAAAAATTTGATGATGACTTGGGTTTAGAGCTAAAATTCTCACATACATGCAAGACTTGTAAATACATTTCTGTCACAGCAGAATTTACAGCTCTCTATGAATAACAATGTTACTGAAAAGTTTTATCAATTTCCAACTGATAACTTTCTCTTGAGATACCCTCTGTAACATACCTTTTAGTTTTATCAGAGAGCTGGATACGCTTGTAAATGCAACACACTACTAAGTCTTGTGTACGAAAGAAAGCACTGAGAACATCTGTCACTTTTAGAAATGAAAATTACACATTCCAAAGGACTTCAAGTCATGTCTTACTAAAACACTGTAAAAAGCTTAAATTATAGCATCTAGAAGGCTGCACCTATAGCAGCAGCTCCCAAGACAGATATCAGAGGCTCATGTTGGATCGTGGCAGTTTAAATTCTCAGCTGGCAGGCTCGCTCTGTAAGTCAATCTACATTCAAGGACAAAACCAGTACTGAGATGAATGCACACATCCAGTCTTTGTACCTAAGAAGTCCACTCAAAGATCAATCTGCAGGATCATGACAGACAAAAAAAAAAAATAAATCCCTGAAACTACTGACTGCCTAAGAGCAAAGTACACTATGAACTTCTTGAAATCTTAACACCCACTAAAAGCAAACTTCCACCCTCTGCAATTGCTCAGACAATTACAGACCAGGCTGGGATGAAGGGCAGGTGCACATGCCCTCTGCAAAAGGAAAGAAGTTCATCTGCAAGCTACCCTCGCTACAGACAAAATATGTGAAATATGAAGAATTATATCAGGTCCTACAAGGGACAACTTTTGTGCAGCTTCCTTCCCCAACCTAACCTTACTGCACTAGATAGCAGTAAATTCAGTAGATAGACAGATTTCATTTGTGCTGAAATCCAGAGACTGTGTAATGTTTTATCACGTTGTCTTCTATGCTCAGCACTGGTGAGGCCGCACCTTGAATACTGTGTTCAGTTTTGGGCCCCTCACCACAAGAAGGACATTGAGGTGCTGGAGCGAGTCCAGAGAAGGGCAACGAAGCTGGTGAAGGGTCTGGAGCACAGGTCTTATGAGGAGCGGCTGAGGGAACTGGGGTTGTTTAGTCTAGAGAAGAGGAGGCTGAGAGGAGACCTTATCACTCTCTA